CTGAAAAAACAAAGCTTGAAAGAACTACGGTAACAATGCAGTAAACCACTTTACACATCATTTAGAAACAGTAAATTAAGAAAAATCAATGATTGTGGTGATTTTTCATATGGAAGTAGAGTAATAAATGAAGCAGACACAATCCTGCTAAAGAGAAGCACTTTAATAAATTCTAGTAAGAATAATTTCAATCAATCTGCGTATTATTTAAAAAAAACAGTACAAAGGCTAGACAGGGTAGTAGTCAACCACAATTAAAATGCATATAAATCTATAGAAATGTCAACAACAGAATAAATAACAAATTCAAATATATAAATAAAAGAATAAATAGCTAGTTACCAAACCTTTGTTAAAATAATTTCTCTGTTTAACAACCACTTGAGTGAAGCTTGCCAGCTTCCAGTGAGAATAAAGATAGAATTAATATTTATCTATACCTCTTATTAAATAAAAGCAGTAAAACTTTGGCTGATTTAGTCCTGTTATTACCGGAAACATTTAAATTTTCCATGAAGAAAAAAAAAAGTTATTTGGAACATAACTTTGAGATTAAACATGAGTTTGCTTTAGATCTACAATGCTCGTAAATGTCGTGTGGGCAGAGCAAAGAATATTTATTTATTTATTTATTTATTTATTTGCATGCTTGTTTACTTATTTACTAGGGTTTATGTGGCACTCTAATCCACGGAGCCTCAGAGAGGCTTACAAAACACTCTCCAGTAGAAGGATTAAAAACAGTACATCAAAATAACAAACAGAAAAAGATGAAGTAACAGATTACAATGCAATAAACTGTGTCCGAAAGGAATAAGCACACCATAGCAAAAGGGACTCCCTTCCTACTGTAGTTCCCACCCCAAGCTTTTAGGAATAGCCAGATCTTAAGGAGTTTTCAGAACACAGCATTAAAAAGGAAGAACCTGGTCTACTCTCAGGGGAGGGGAGATGAAAAGGCTCATCTGGGAACTGTGCGTTTGTGTGAAAGCCTCACTGCCAAGGCTGCTACCTGTTCCTTCAGCAGGAGTGAAGAGTCCAGAAGGGCCCACAGATTACTAGCCAGTTTTGACTGGGATAATGCAATCCTATCCCGAACCAAAGAACCACTTTCCTGGGATTAAACTTTAGGCTGTTTTGCAGTTGCTCTTTCATCCTTCCACAAGAAGTATAATTCAGGTCATTTTAAAGAGAGTTGATAAATGACAATCTGAGGATGCAGTAATGGCCTTTGATCATTTTTATCACTACAGGATAGGCTCAGTTCTCAGCTGTTACCCATGACTGACCACACTTTTTTTTGGGTCTTATTTCAAGCAAGTGGAATACTATTCTAGGTGTTTCTTTGGCCACCTTATTTCCCATAGAACCATTGGCAAGCTAGATTCCCTGCAATCTGTGGGATTGGAGAGGCTGTCTAAGGCTGTTATCATCCCTGTATTCCACTTGGCAAGTAAGGCCTCAGGAAAACTGCCCACCAAGGTCTCTGGAAATTCCCTAAAGTTCTCTGGAAATTATCAGGAACTGACAAGTTAATAGTCAGTTCTTCCTCAAAACTGATGACCCCAAATAACAAGCAAACAGTGATCTGACCATAACAAAAGACAGACATCATGTTGTATCTCGCCGCAGGGAGACGGAACCGCCTAGATGGTTCCGTCCCAGGCGACTGATGGACCCTGAGAGGTTCCTGATGGAGCTTGGGCCATATCCGGAGGATCTGGTCCACGACTCGGCGGAAAATCAGGCGGCGGCATGGGAGACAACTGCCGCCGCGGCATTGGACCGAGTCGTGCCTTTGCGGCCTCTGACCCGACGTGGNCTGAAAAAACAAAGCTTGAAAGAACTACGGTAACAATGCAGTAAACCACTTTACACATCATTTAGAAACAGTAAATTAAGAAAAATCAATGATTGTGGTGATTTTTCATATGGAAGTAGAGTAATAAATGAAGCAGACACAATCCTGCTAAAGAGAAGCACTTTAATAAATTCTAGTAAGAATAATTTCAATCAATCTGTGTATTATTTAAAAAAAGCAGTACAAAGGCTAGACAGGGTAATAGTCAACCACAATTAAAATGCATATAAATCTATAGAAATGTCAACAACAGAATAAATAACAAATTCAAATATATAAATAAAAGAATAAATAGCTAGTTACCAAACCTTTGTTAAAATAATTTCTCTGTTTAACAACCACTTGAGTGAAGCTTGCCAGCTTCCAGTGAGAATAAAGATAGAATTAATATTTATCTATACCTCTTATCAAATAAAAGCAGTAAAACTTTGGCTGATTTAGTCCTGTTATTACCGGAAACATTTAAATTTTCCATGAAGAAAAAAAAATTATTTGGAACATAACTTCGAGATTAAACATGAGTTTGCTTTAGATCTACAATGCTCATAAATGTCGTGTGGGCAGAGCAAAGAATACTTATTTATTTATTTACTTGCATGCTTGTTTACTTATTTACAGGGTTTATGTGGCACTCTAATCCACGGAGCCTCAGAGAGGCTTACAAAACACTCTCCAGTAGAAGGATTAAAAACAGTACATCAAAATAACAAACAGAAAAAGATGAAGTAACAGATTACAATGCAATAAACTGTGTCCGAAAGGAATAAGCACACCATAGCAAAAGGGACTCCCTTCCTACTGTAGTTCCCACCCCAAGCTTTTAGGAATAGCCAGATCTTAAGGAGTTTTCAGAACACAGTATTAAAAAGGAAGAACCTGGTCTACTCTCAGGGGAGGGGAGATGAAAAGGCTCATCTGGGAACTGTGCGTTTGTGTGAAAGCCTCACTGCCAAGGCTGCTACCTGTTCCTTCAGCAGGAGTGAGAGTCCAGAAGGGCCCGCAGATTACTAGCCAGTTTTGACTGGGATAATGCAATCCTATCCCGAACCAAAGAACCACTTTCCTGGGATTAAACTTTAGGCTGTTTTGCAGTTGCTCTTTCATCCTTCCACAAGAAGTATAATTCAGGTCATTTTAAAGAGGGTTGATAAATGACAATCTGAGGATGCAGTAATGGCCTTTGATCATTTTTATCACTACAGGATAGGCTCAGTTCTCAGCTGTTACCCATGACTGACCACACTTTTTTGGGGGTCTTATTTCAAGCAAGTGGAATACTATTTTGGTGTTTCTTTGGCCACCTTATTTCCCATAGAACCATTGGCAAGCTAGATTCCCTGCAATCTGTGGGATTGGAGAGGCTGTCTAAGGCTGTTATCATCCCTGTATTCCACTTGGCAACTAAGGCCTCAGGAAAACTGCCCACCAAGGTCTCTGGAAATTCCCTAAAGTTCTCTGGAAATTATCAGGAACTGACAAGTTAATAGTCAGTTCTTCCTCAAAACTGATGACCCCAAATAACAAGCAAATAGTGATCTGACCATAACAAAAGACAGACATCATGTTGTATCTGCTCCAAGACAAGAACTAGAGCTGAAGTATGGCCTCCCACATGGGTTAGGCCACAATGATTTAGGTTAGTAGGGTGGCCATGAATTCCCAGACCTTTCAGAGAGGGCAAGGAGGGTCAGAATCATAAACCTATATAGAATGTTCTAGTTCATTTGGACTCTACTTCATGTGTTGAACAGCTGTTTGCTAGGAAGGAGAAAAAAAGCAGGCATTATTTCAGGCTGATTGGGAACTCTGAGGGTTTAGGTTGAACACATCTGCAGGACACCTGGTCAGGAAAGTTTCTCTCATCTCTATGAAAAGAGAAGGACAATCTACATGCATGATGTTAAAATAGGCCATTTCCTTTCGCACGGATGTTTTAAAAACATCAAAAGCTTGCTAGAACCATAATTATTTATTTCATTTGTATCCCAATGACTTAACGGCCATTAATGCCGTTCAAGATCAGAACAATCACTTGCAGAGAATATTTAAAACATTCTCTTTCCTCACTTCAATTGCTGTTTGGCATGGGAGGGTGGGAGATTATGATCAGAACTATGGTTGAATAGGAAAAAGTCCTTAACTGTTTTTCAATAGACAGGAAAGAACTTTTCTTTATTCATTTGTTGTAATCTAATGCCAATGTAAACTGTAAGTTTACATTAGACATTAAAAAATAGATATTTTAAAAGTATAATATTTTCTAAAGCATAGTAAAATAATTGCCAATAGTAAAAACATAGTGGTTCATCTGGTAAAATTTTTGTAGCTGATTTCTTTTATATAAATATGCTTTCTTTCTTTTCATCATCATTAAGTTAACATCATTATGTTTATTTCTTTTGTTCAATAAAGTGCACGTGTATACACACAATACCAATTGTCACATTTCTCTAAAAGTCATTGAGCTTACTACTCTTCAGCTTTAAATTTGTTTAATGTGCAGTAATTAAAACAGTGGAATTGTGCAAAGAAGTGAATCCCTTTGATGTTGATTCCAGCCAACCATGATGTTTGGCTGCATTCTGTTGGATGAAGGAAAATAGATTTTTCTCAGAATAACATTTATATTAACACATGTCATGATTTATCTATAGCAGACATGTCAAACTCGCAACGTCGCGCAACGTATCGGGACAGTTTTGCCATTGCCGGCAATGGGGTGGGCACGGCTTCCGGATGACGCATCCAGCCCATGGGCCGGCAGTTTGACACCCCTGATCTACATATAGTATAAAACTATTTCAAGTTGATTCATTTGTGTAAGAACTAAGCCTGAAATAGAATCTATGAATGAAGTATTTTCTATATATTTTTATTCAGGTGTTTTCTTTTCTATATACTGTAGTCGCTTCTATAATGGAAAAATGAATGAATGAATAGACTCTACTAACCTGCCCAGCAAAGATTCCACAGACACCAATAATGCAGAGGATATTGAAAACAGCAGAACCAACAATGGTTCCAACTCCTACATCACCATGAGTGATAAACACACCTGGTTGAATAGACAAAAAGAGAAAGAGTAGTGAGAGCTATAGCTTTCAATGGGATTACAAGAATTAGGAAATTTATTACATGTCTCATGTCCAACAATAATTGCAGTCAATTCTGTAAGAAAACAGTGACATCTCCTCCCCAAGGTAGACATTTGTCAAGAATCTTTAATGGGGATTCCAGAATCAAACTGATTGGCAAGAGTGGATTTGATGGCCTAAATGGCGTAACTCTATGATTCCCTGAGAAAATAACCTTCTAATCTGAAAAAGTGATGGGAGCATTAGTATATTATGGAAGTGACTGGCAATCTCACAGGCTCTCCCAAGAAGCCCACATGTCTATCAAGGCCTGCATATGCGGTGTGCTCTTTCCAGCTGTTAATTAGAAGGAAAACTTTTTAAAATTTCACTGAACATGGGAGAAGGGGGACATGACCACCTGGGATCGTACTATCCCCATGACTTCTGGATAGGGTAGATGGAAAGTGTATGAAACTGCACCTTCCCACAACTTCCTCCCCCTTCCTCTGCCCCAATTATTCTTTGATTCCATTAGCACCAGGATTAAACTGTTTCTAAACATAGCTGCTTCACCAGGACAAGGATGAAATAGAGGCATTTTTGTGTATAAAGCATATGCTTGCATGTGAATGTAGTTTATATGGGTTCATTTGCACTGGAATAGTGTTTGTAACTGATATCTGTTAGATAATGAATCCACCAAGATTACACTAACAGCAGAAACATTTTCAGATGGCTTGGTCTTTATTGGTATTTATACTCTAGATGTAAGGACCTACCTCATATAGGCCTCCCAAGAAAGCAGAATTCTTGAAACAGGCATTATCTCAAAAGGAACTTTTATTAGGGGCTAGTGACAGCAGGGAAAACAAGGCGAGGTCTGAGGGAAAACCCACACAAGCAGTATATTAAAAGCAATATTCATTACTCCTCCCTCCAGGGTCCCAGGGTCTGTTTGAATCCCAGCCAATCCACAGGTGGCATATTGTTTTGGTAACTGGCTCAGTTGATGCCGCTCTTCAAGGTCTCTCTTGCTTTCATTTCTCTCTGGCTCCAAGCCCAAACCGTCTCCTAGATAAGGGTGATACATTCCTTCTCCTGGAGGGAGGGCAAAGTGGCAAGATAGTGCAAAGCATCCCCAAAGCATCCCTCCCTCCCAACAGAATGGCAGGCCCCAAAGAATGGTTACAAAAGCAAGTATACTACAAGGAGAGAAACAATACATTTCTTTGGGGATCTGACACTAGGACAAACAGGGGAGATGAATGAATATGAACTATGGAGACTAGATGGGCTGTGCAAGGATCAATCAATCAGAATAGAGCTAGAAGGAATCTTGGATCTTCTAGTCCTATTCGCCTGCTCAAGCGGGAGACCCTATTCCATTTCAGACAGGTGGCTGTCCAGTCTTTTCTTAAAAACCTCCAGTCATGAAGCAACCTACAACTTTTGAAGGTAAGCTGTTCCATTGGTTAATTGTCCTCACTGTTAGGAAGTTTCTATTCACTATTAGGAAGTTAGGATATCTGCAATACCAGGCAAATGCATGCTTGGCAGAGAGATACACAAATCTATTATTATAATTATAACATGACAGACAGGAAAATTATTTATAGGCATAATTACATTAACTGCATTTGATGTTAATTAGACAGATATAAAGTCAAATATAATTTTCCTGATCTCATCCACACCCTGATAAACCATGCCCAGGTATGCTTTAGTGGAAGTGGGAGACTTCTAACAAAACCCAAAACCCTTGTACAGTTATTCTGAAAATCACAGAAAATTAACTATACAGTAGCTGTTCTTCTGATTTGTCTATGGGAAGAATTTGCATACCTTATGCATTTACTTACCTATGACTGATGCAAATAATTCGGGGGTTGAACTTCCAGCAGCCATGAATGTGGCTCCTGCAACATCTTCGCTCAGATGTAGTTTCTGGGGGAAAATAAAGAGAAGAATTCATCATTTCACTAGCTGTAGCCCAGCTTAAAAATTTTGTATATCTGATGAAGGAGGGGAAGCAAAGCCAAATATTTTCTTTGAGATTTAAATGTCTATGGAGATTCTTAGTCTTTGTTTGAGATTGAGATTAAGTTGTCTGAGATTTAAACAACGTTCAGAATGGAATTTAATAAATAGGAGCAAGCTGTCCATAGGGCCATATGATAACAGATGGCTTATTTCAGTGATGGCAAACCTTTTAGAGACCAAGTGCCCAAACTGCAACCCAAACCCCACTTATGTATTGCTGGGTGCCAGGTGGGTGTGGCCACTCGGTGGGCGTAGCTACAGTGGGCGTGGCAGACTGGGTGGGCATGGCCACTGGATGGGTGTGGCTGCAGTAGTCATGGCAGACTGGGTGGGCATGGCCACCTCGATGTTGCTTATGGGGAGGGATACCTGTGGGAGCCGGGCAGGGTTGGGGGAGATCCAGGGGGTCTTTGGTGGGTGGGATGGTGGGCTCCCCAATGGCGGCTCCAGGCTGGCTGGCCTTAGGCCAGTGATGGTGAACTTTTAGAGACCACGTGTGCTAGGGCGATGGCGCGTGCCCACAGAGAGGGCTCCGCGTGCCACCTCTGGCACCCGTGCCATAGGTTTGCCACCACTGGCTTATTTTGTCAGCCTGCATCCCTGCAAGGTGTCTCTCTTAGCATATCACAAGCTGATTTAGAAGGATGAAAGTTATTTTCACATACCTCACAAATTTTTTCTAAAGATGGAACAAAGAAATCATCGCATACAATAGCCAAGGCATAGAACATATACAGAGCCTGTAGAAAATACACACAACAGATATATTTGTTAAAGTATTACAAAATAAAGTAGATACAAATAATATAGGGCAAGAAACTACTTACATCCTCATACAGTCTTTTGCATCCTATTGTTATCTTTAAACTAGAAAATGTTCAGTCTAGATATTCTTTGGAAGTAGCCCCTTCTCCAATGTTAAGTTGCTAAATAAAATGCAAAATTAAGCTGTGTTTTGTTATTATAGTGTACTGCTTTTCAAGTCAGAAAGGTTTCTCAAGATTCTTTTTTTTTTTTTTTTTTGAGAAAAAAAGTGAAGGTGAAATGCCAGAAATATAAACCAAAATCTTTAAGGAGCAACAATCTTCAGAACATTTTTATTTCTATCGTATTATTCCTGCAACAACCTTAGGATATTTTGCTTTTCCCTTAAAGAATCTGATATCATCCTAGTTAAGTCTAATCTTTGCCTGAGAAAAATGTACATTCCCTAAACTTTCTGGAAGAGGTGGATATAAATAGATCCCCCCGTCCCGTTCATAGAGGAAGCACAATTTAAGGCACTTCCAAGTTGAAAGGATTAGTTGGTGTCATCCTTGGGGGCTCCTTTCAGGCCCCTATCAAGAAGCTGCAGCAAATGACCGGAGGGTCATCTCACCACGCAGGAGCTCTCGGGTCTCGAATGTGGGCTTGGTAACTTCCAACTCAGTGTCCTAACCACATGAGCCACCACCCTCAATGTAAATAAGTAATTGAGGATTATATTTTGAACATGCTTCAGATGTCCCAGGAATACTTACACCAAGAATATGAAGCAATATTGCTCCTTGCTGTCTTTCTTTGTTTTTGAATAAATCCTGAGGAAATTCATGAATCGCTGAAATAGGAAAAAAAATGTATTAAAACTGTTCAAACACTTTAGCAGCCAGAAAATGTTTGAGTTAGCTGTGCATTGCTTCTCTGGAAGATAAATAATGTACCTGAAATGTAAATAAATCACAAATGCAATTAACTTTACCAAAGGAGATATTATAGCTTCAGCGCAGGAACAAGTTTGGTCTAGTGGTTAAGGCACCAGGCTAGAAACCAGGAGACTGTGAGTTCTAGTTCTGCCTTAGCTATGAAAACCAACTGGGTGACTTTGGGCCAGTCATTCTCCCTCAGCCCAACTCACCTCACAGTGTTATCGTTGTTGTGGGGGAAATAGGAGGAGGCAGATGTGTTGGATATGTTCAACGCCTTGAAATATTTGAAAAAATAATAAAGGCGGGATACAAATAAAATAACTAAAAGATGGGATACTAATTAAAATAAAGAAAAATAACAATCTTTACACAAAATATTTCGTCCCAATTTGTGGACCCGTACTAACAACATTTGTTTATTGATCTGTGGATCTAAATTAAAAGTCAACATTCTCCTACATGTAGCTACATATGGCAGCAGTTTGAAGCTTCTGACAAAGCCTAGAAATCTGTGATTACTACTGTTCTTGTCCCCTAGATTTCTGAATGGCTGCAAAGAAAAGTTATTGCTCTAAGATTTTGCTTGTACTTTATGAGGACATTTTAGTTCGACTGAAGTGAATCACAGACACTGAAAGCTTTAAGCACAGATTTTTTTTGCTTACCTCCCAGTGTAGCAGCTATTACTGTGGACTATCCAAACAGTTTGACTTCCCCACTATCTCTGCAGGAGCTCAACCATGATGGAGCTGTTTTTCAGCAAGATGTGGAAGCCACAGATGTTCCCATCTCTGCTTCATGTCCTGGCTGCAAATCAGGACTATTCTCCCCCTCCCCCCGGACCACTTTGTATGTTTTCTTTCCTCTCCTTTGTGGAATTATTCCACTTTTCCTTAACAGTGGTAGACATTTAAGTACTAATAAACTTGGGGAACTACAGTATCTTGAAATTGGGGGTTCTGCATCTTGTAATAAGGCTTTCAAATGCATCTCAAGGAGCATTTATGCTCCTCGTTTGATTTATGACAAGACCTGAAGCTTTCTTGATGCATGAACAAGTAGGATGAAGTATGAAGGAGATACATGCTACAGTTCTTTCCTTATCAACATTCCCTAAAATAACTGAAGGTCCATTAGGAGAATGTGGCTATATGCAGATGACAATGGCTATGATTCTTCAAGGATGTAGACTCCATGTACTAACTAACTATCCCTCCATGGTGTCTATGGAGATTCTCAGTCATCCAGGTCATGGTTGTCTCAAAGATGCTTTTTCAAAAGGCAACTGGACTATGTTTTTCCATTGAGGAAGAAGATGTTTTGCTTCTCATCCAAAAAGCTTCATCAGGAGCGGCGGTGGTGCAGTGGTTAGAAAGCAGTACTGCAGGCTAATTCTGCTGACTGCTAACTGCCAGCAGTTCGGCAGTTTGATTCTCACTGTCTCAAGGTTGACTCAGCCTTCCATCTTCTGAGGTTGGTAAAATGAGAACCCAGATTGTTGGGGGCAATATGCTGACTCTATAAACTGCTTAGAGAGGGCTGTAAAGAACTGTGAAGTGGTATATAAGTCTAAGTGCTATTGCTATCAGAACTGATGAAGCTTCTTGGATGAAAAGTGAAACATATTCTTCTTCCTCAAGAGAAAAAACATAGCCTAGTTGCCTTTTGAAAAGGCACCTTTGACACATCCTTCCATGGTCTTTTTGTCGGGAGGGGAGAACCTATAAAGAGCTTGTTTGTATATCTGCACATTTGGAAGAAGGGACGAGGCCTTTCTTTTTAGGGATAAAATTGCAAAAACAAGACTTATCTGTTTTCGTTAACCACCGCTTTTAAAACTAACCACTGTTTCTAAAACGTTCAGGCTTAGTCTCCAGGATTTCTGGATTCCTAACCAAAAGGTACTAAATAAAGTCATGCTAATGATGCCAACTACATTACAGAACTGAATAATTTATAGTGTAGTCTGGAGGACTGCTGATAAACCACTCCAACATTCAATAAGGCAATAGGAACAGCCCATAAAATGTTATTTAAATATAAATGTGACTTTTCCCTATTGCATTTTTTATGCTCATTGGCTAAATGCTAACTCTTCAAAACCCCTAAAAGCAAAGCTACGTTTTTACAAGTCAGTTTATTCAGTACAATTTTTCAACTGCTAATAAACCAAAATATCATCTTCTCTAAAAATATAACAACTGTTGTCTTGTTCTCATCTCCAATTTTTATCTGTAAAGAAATCCTTAAAGGCTTGTCATTTCAGTCCCAATTAACAAAAGTCCATTAAGGGTTATCAGAGATAACATATCTAGTTTAACTTTGACCAAACTTTATATTCCTTCATTTTACTTTTACAAATCTTGATCTTTGGTCCTTTCAGATAATGTCCTGGAACTTGATTTTTTTTTCTTGATCCCTTCACACAAATTTCTTCAAAGTTTTAACAAGTCTCTTTTGTAAATCCAATATAGGAATATTATCCAGATCACTCTTTTGGTTTATAACTTGTATATCTTTCTAAATTATCAAGACATCAGCTGGTTTCTTTTGTATGTCCCAGATAACGTCTTTTTCCATGTCATTCTTGTAGCTTGTCATTGTAGGAGATGACCAGGTGGAGCCCAAAGGAGGGGTCAAAGGCATCATCAGTCTCAAGTCCCTTCCTGCCCACAGGAGATCTAAGTTCAGGCCATTTTGAATTCCATTGACTCTTATCTACTGACAATTTGCTTTGACCATTAGTAGTTCAGATTCTTCTAGAGAGCATAATAAACCTTTATATTCATTTGAACTGCCTGGACTTCTGATTTTCCCACACTTGACAGTCATTTTTAAATCCACTTTCAGATCAGTTTCAATCTTGTAAGGTAAAACTTGTTCCCCTTCCATAATATGTTGTTAACCATCTAACTATAGAAATAGACACTTTTGAGGGCATTGTTCAAACATATCCTTCAATATATCAACATTAAAATACTTTGCTTCATTCTGTATTCCTATTCAGTATTCTTCTCCTTTAATTGTAATTTTTAGTTCCTTCTAGTTCCCTCTAGTGTCCAATTTTTTAAATCTTATGTTTTTTTTTAAAAGAAGTCAGAACAAAAGCATTTTCCCATGGGATGAATTTTTTTAGTTAATTTTGAAATTTTATTTCAAATTTATCTGGACCCTTATTCTATTTGTAACTTTCTAAAATCCAAGTTTTGATCATCCTTTTGCTGTTTATTTCAAAACCCTTTTTAAGTCCTTCAACCTGTATTTAAAACTTCTTTTGCTAAGGATTGAAGGAAACTCACCTAGTGTTGTAAAACCTGAAGATCCAAAGGTTCTTAAAAGCTGAAAAGAAGTTAACAAGCAATTTCCAAAAGTGATTAGAAAAGGAAGTATGAGGACCCAATGTCCTTTTTGGGCACCAAATATGGTTTCAGCAAAATGGCTGTTCCATCATCTCCCAGAACTTTAAGTCCATTAGAGACTTCAGTCTTCTAGGACAGTTGCAAGGACCAACTGTCTGGAACATTTGTGGGTGATCTCAAGTCCTCTTTTTGTCCAGAGAGGAATTACGAAGAGCCGGTCTACTCACCAGCTCTTCAGTCTGCCATGATCGTAAGCTCTGCTTTTAGCAGAGCCATCTTCAGTTTTCCATTTTT